AAAACGTACCCCACTAGCCTAAAGCTCCCTACTGCTGTTCCAAAAGCAAACACCACAAGCCTCAGGTTAAGAAGGGGCGGACCTCCCCCAAGCAAAACTGAACTGGAGGGGAGGGGACCGGGGCGTGGTCGGCGTCGGGGGGTGTGGCTGAAGCGGAGAGGGCGGGCTGAGCCTCAGGCTCCGCCCCTCCGTGACGCACCTGGAATTGGCGCGGTGGAGGCGGCGGGACCCCGCGCCGCGCCCCACGCCCTCCATCCACGACCCCGCCCCAGAAAGGCCGTGAGCCCCCACTTGTCCCCATGACCGGTCCCCATCCGCGACCGCACCCCGGAGTCCCGCACGGGTCGCGGTGGGCCAGGGGCGGCGGCGGCGCAGACCCGCGAGGGCGGGCGGCTCGACCAAGGTGCTTACTGTCCAGATAGTGCTCCAAGTACATGGCAGTCGCCATCTTCGCTGCGGCCACGCTCGGGGTCTGCGCGAGCGGGCGGTGCCGCGGACTCGGGGCGGGGCGGCGCCGCGCGCTCACTATTCATGAGCCGCGCGCGCCGATTGGCCGGCGGAGGGGCGGGGCACGTCAGGGCCCACCCCCACGCTTCCGGCCGGCTGCGGTCGCCAGGCGGCGCTGTGGGGCTTCCCCTGAGGGGATCCGGGTGGGCGATGGAGTCTGTCCGCGGTTGGCGATGCGGAAGCTACTTCTCTGGCTCCCGCGGAGGTCCGAGCCTTGGTGGTGCCCTGTCGAGCGCTCGACTGGGGAACCCTGCCTACACGTGTGCCGGCTCCGAGCTTCACTTTCCGGTTGACACCCGCCGCTCTGCCGGCGTTGTTCGGATCTGGGGTCCGGTCGGCCCGAGAGCCGGCGCGAGCTGCTTGTGGCTTCTCGAAGGTGGCAGCGTGGTCCTCCAGGAAGGAGATCCCTCCCCCCCCCATACACACACACTCACACACACACACACGCCTTGGTTAAGGTCCCTCCCCCCCATACACACACACACACACACACACACACGCCTTGGTTAACATTGACGCGCTGTGTTGCTATTTAGTCCCGAGGGGCGTGCCCACGCTGGACCTGCGTGTCCTGACCCGCACTTCGTGAAGAAGCCATGCACACCTCGACGCCTGCAAAAAATACCTGGAAAAGCCGGGCGTGAGGGCACGCGCCTTTAAAACCCAGCACTCGGGAGGCAGAAGCAGGTCTGTCGCCATGAGTTCAAGGCCTGCCGTCGTCTACCTGCCCGCCCAGACTAGCGAGACCCTCGTCACAAATTAAAAAAAAAAAAAAAAAAAAAAAGAAAGAAAAGGGAAAGTTAGCAGGGGTGGTAATGGCACATCCCTTAATCCCAGCACAGCAAAGGCAGGCCGATCTCTGAGTTTGAGGCTAGTCTGGTCTATAGCCAAGGTTACACAGAGAAACCCTGTCTCTAAAAACAAACAAAAGGGGGTGCGCTGGGTGCCACTTAAATATGTCAGATGGTGGAATTAAGTGTGGGTTCTCTGTGTCCGGCCCTAACTCGGTGTTATCAGCGTGGATGCGCTTGCCAGTCACCACTTAGCCCCTGTCACTCCGAGCCAGCTAAGATTAGGAAATTATCTCCTGCAAAATTTCATGGGCAAAAGTTTAGGTGTCATGGGCCAATCCTCCTTTCACTCTTAACTTCACGCTGGCCGGGAAGAAGGAATTCCTGTCCTGAAAGCTCCAGGGCCAAGGAACAGCTGGGGTTACAACAATCGTGCCAGAACAATCCTCATAGCCTCGGCCTCTGACATTGTTGGTTTTACAATTTTTTAGAATTTTCTTATACAGGTATGAGTGTTTTTCACACATGTGCATCACGTCCTTGCCTAGTGCCCAGGAAAGCCAGTAAAGGGCATTTGATCCCCTGAAATTAGAGTTGTGAGCCACCATGTGGATGCTGAGAACGGAAGCCAGTTCCTCTACAGAGCAGCAAGTGCTTTTAAACTCTGAGCCATCTCTTCAGCACTAAAGAATCAGGATTTTCTTGTGTAGCTTTGGAGCCTGTCCTGGAACTAGCTCTTGTAGACCAGGCTAGCCTCGAACTCACAGACACCTGACTGCCTCTGCCTCCCGAATGCTGGGATTAAAGGTATGTGCCATCACTACCCGGTCAGGGTTTTCCTTTTTCTTTTGGGTTTTCTGAGACAGGGTCTTCCTATTATGTAGCTCTGGATGTCCTCAAACTTGCTAAAATAGAGACCAGGTTGGCCTTGAACTCATATAGATCAGCTTCCTCTGCCTCCCCAGTGCTAGGACTAAGGGCATGTGCCACCACATCCCCTGGACCAGGGTCCTTATTATTTAAAATGCAATTTTGGGGGACATGTAGCCCCGGTTGCCCACAATCTGAATATGCAGCCAAAGATGACCTTGAACTGTTCCTTCAGCCTCCACCTTCCAAGTCCTAATATTATATCCGGTGTGTCACCATGCCCAGTTTACTTGGTATCTGAGTGCTCGGTAAGCATTCTACCAAGTGAACTATATTTCCAGCCTTAAAAGCATTTACTCTAGAAAAGAATTCGAACTATATAGCAATTTAAAATGTTTCCCACTCGGTCCAAATACTAAACCAATGGTCTTTACTTTGCGTCCAGGTCCTTCCCTTTGAAGAAGGTGCTCATTCCTGAACACTTAATGCCTCGTGAGAACATACACATGACTTTACTGGACCTGCTTTTCTGTTCAAATATCTCTGTTCTGGAGCTCATTTTAAAGGCTAATAACCATTTTCAAAGCAGTCTTAGGTTTCCTGAAAAATTGAGCATACAATCTGCATAGGGGTCTCCAACAATTTCCTCAATTGTAGACGTTTTGCATCCCTATGGCAACTTTGTTACAGTTAATGAAACAACATTGATACATTATTAACTAAAATCCATAGTTTACGAGAGTCCACACTTGCTTGGAGTCTCATATTTCTGACAAATACATACTAAGTATTCCGTTACAGCATCCTGAAGAATATTCACTGCCTTAAATGAATACCACAGTATGGGACCCACACCCCCCCACATATATACTTTTGTAACCAATAAACATTTTAAAATCTCAGTAGTTTTGCTATTTTCTGGAATGCCATGTAGTTGGGGCTTACAGTATAGACTTTTCAGACTGGCTTCCCCTATACTAGGACACTTCAGGTTCTTCCATGTCCTAATATGACTTGATAGTTGATTTCTTTTTTAGTTGAAAAGGATTCCACTGTGTAATTAACCAGTTTATTAGTTTGCCTGTTAGAGACATCTTAGCTGCTTCCATGTTTAGGCAAATATGAACAGAACTGATACAACCATTTGCCTGCAGGAATTTCTGTAGACATAGTTTCCAGTATTTGAATAAATACTGACCATATATTAAGAGTAAAGAAGTTTCTTGAGGAACAGCCAAGCTGTCTTCCAAAGTGGCCACACACACACACAGGTTTTGCTTTCTCATCAGCATTGATATTTTCCTTTGCTCCAAAACCTCACCAGCATGCTGTATGGTTGGAATTGTAGGTTTGGGCTAGTCTAGTAGAGGTGTGAAATTATCTTCTTTTAATGTACGATTCCTAATAATGCTCATGTTGAGCATGTTTACATATCTGTTGGGCACATGAATACCTTCTCTGACTAGGTGTCATTTCAGGTGTTTGCATAGACCTTGAATTTCTTCTCCTGCCTCCACCTCCCAAGGGGTCAGGATTATAGGATATGTCTCCCAATATATTGATTTTTCTGTGCTGGGTATGAAATCTAGGGCTTTATTCATGTTAGGTAAATGCTGAGAGCCTCCTAATCAGTTTGTTTGTTTTTTCTTTTTTTTCAAAGCTTGATGACCTCTTTTTTGTTAAGATTTATTTTACTTATTATGTATACAGTGTTCTGCTGGCTTGCATGCCTGCATATCAGAAGAAAGAGGGAAGCAGATTTCATTATAAATGGTTGTGATCCACCGTGTGGTTGCTGGAAATTGAACTAAGGACCTCTTTTAAAGAGCAGCCTGTGCTCTTAACCTCTGACCCATCTCTCCAGCCTCTTGTTTTTTTTTTTTCAAGACAGGGTTTCTCTATGTGACAGCCCTTGCTGTCCTGTAACTCACTCTATAGATCCATCTGTCCCTGCCTCCCAACAGCTGGGATTAAGGGCCTGTGCCACCACCTCCAGGCCCCCTAATCAGTCTTATTGAAACATATTAGCTGTTAACTCGGAATCCTTCTGCCTCAATCCGCCTCAGCCTCCGAGTGCTGTTTTATTTGAGATCTGGCCTCACAATGCAGCCCTGGAACTTACTAATGTAGATCAAGCTGATCTCAAACTCGCATAAGTTGTGCCTGCCTCCAGCACATTTATTTTTCCTGGTTTTAATCATTTCTATAAAAACACTACTGGAGCAAGGCAAGAGGAAAATGGGAATTGTTCAGTTCTGGCCAAGGCTGCAATTAAATCCAATTCCTTCCACCAACTCTGTCCCTCGGTTGTTGACACAGTCCCAGTACACTAAAAGAGCAAACATTTCTGAACGCTTTGATGAAGTTGCAGCACACCTTGGAAGAAAGCATAAGATGGTTTTTTTTTTTTTTTTTTTTTTTTTTTTTTCTCTCCAAGACAGGGTTTCTCTGTAGCTTTGGAGCCTGTTCTGGAACTCGCTCTGTAGACCAACCTGGTCTCGAACTCACAGAGATCCGGCTGCCTTTGCCTTCTAAATGGTAGGATTAAAGGCGTGGACCACCACCGCCCGGCTAAGAAGGATCTTTTCTTGTGATAAAAACAACTTTTAGAACCCTGCAGTAGCGAGCTCAGAGACTGAAAATTTGATTCCGCTACTGCTCTGGGATTTCCACGTGAGCGGAGCCTACACAACCCTAACCCGAGATTGGCCCTTCCAGGGCGCTGCAAACGGAAGTTCCGCGAGTGGGAGGTCACCAAGCAGCTGGGACCCGGGCCACGGGCTACGCAACGTCCGGAACCGGAATCGGTTCTTCCTCAGGCTACACGAACTCGGCTTCCAGCCGGAAGAGGCGGTGCGGCAGTACCTGCGCGCTCCCGCCTTCTGCTGCTGCTAACATTGGCGGGAACCTGACAGGTTGGCGGGAACTGAGCGGGATGGCGATGGCTTCGCGTCGGGGGGCACTCATCGTGCTGGAGGGCGTGGACCGTGCTGGCAAGACCACGCAGGGCCACCGGCTGGTGACCGCGCTGTGCGCCTCGGGCCACCGAGCCGAGCTGCTGCGTTTCCCTGGTGCGCGGACAGGCCAGTGGGCGGGTCGGTGGGCGGGACTTGAGAGTATCTCTCTCTTTGGGCTTAGTTTTTGTATTTTTAAAAAGTTTAAAGATATTTATTTATTATTGTGCAATGGATGTGCTGCCTAGTTTTAGGTCACCTTGACACAAGCTAGAGTCTTTGGGAAGAGGGACTTTCAATTGAGAAAATTGCCCCCACCAACTTACCCTGCAGGCCAGCACGCGAGACATTTTCTTGATTGGTTATTGATGGAGGGCCCAGCTCACTGTGAGCAGTGTTACTTTGGGCTGGTGGAGACGGCTTAGCTGATAAAATGCACATTGAAATGAGGACCCGAGTTCAGTCTTCAAGGTAAAAAACCGGCACGGTTGTTTATAATCCTAATGCTGGAGAGGTGACAACAGGCTTGATCCTCCTTCCGGTGGCTAGCCAAAACTGAGCTTCAGGTCCCAGTGGAAGATCCTCTCTGCAAACACAAGGTGGATTACTCCTGGAAAAGGAACCTGAGGTCGACCTCTGGCCTTCACCCCTGTGCACTGGAACACCAACCCCTAACCCTACAAATTAAGTAGATGAGGAATTGGAAAAAATGCTTTATTGGATACTTTTTTTGTTGTTGTTGTTGTTTTTCGAGACAGGGTTTCTCTGTAGCTTTGGAGCCTGTCCTGGAACTAGTTCTTGTAGACCAGACTGGTCTCGAATTTACAGAGATCTGCCTGCCTCTGCCTCCCGAGTGCTGGAATTAAAAGCATGCGCCATCACCCCTGGCTTTTTCGGATAGTCTAATCTTTAAGCCAACCAGTCAAAAGTCTTAGGGGTACTTTTGAAATCAAGGATTACATGGTTTCCACACAGTAATGCGTTCTCTCAGGGAAACTACTCTGGCTTCTTCAGAGATGGTTCAAACCTGTCTAGAGGTTTAATAACATTTAGAGTTCGATATGAGTACAAGTCATAAACTTAGGTGCAAAACTATCATGTAATTTGCAACTTTCTCCTTCTAGAAAGATCAACAGAAATCGGCAAGCTCCTGAATTCCTACTTAGAAAAGAAAACAGAACTGGAAGACCACTCAGTGCACCTGCTTTTTTCTGCGAACCGCTGGGAACAAGTGTAAACACGACTCACTGCTCCCCCTAGTAACTTGCAGACTTGTGTGTGTGGGAATGCATGTGTAGCTTCAT